CACTGCACATGTACACCCACATACATGCACACGTATACCCACACCCAGATGATACTGACGGTGAATTTTCATTACTCAACATGAGACGAGATGTTTTTACTCCATTAAATAAACATAGTCAAGAAGGAACACTTTGTAGACAAACAGACACTATAGAAAAAACAAAGATGAATAGAAGTCTTTCAAATAGGCTTATAAATTGGTTGTTCCCCAGTTTCGTTTCTATGTGAGTAGGATATCAACATAAGAGAGAACACTATTTCAGTACTTTTTGTACATTAGAACTCCATCACTGCTGAATGGGGATGTGGGTGTCTTTTTCTACACCCACACCACCCCTCATGTGCAAAGATACCCACACGACGAATACAATATTTTCTTCTTCTTGAAAAGAGAAAAATCGTGCTTTCGCTATTCTATTGCTCGAAACGTTATTTTTCTACTGTCCTCATAACTAAGTGAGTCATTGGTGGAAGCAATGAGTTTAAAATTAGAATAGAAGAAGTACAGAACTGCTATGAAGATCATTTATTGATAACTTACTTAACAGGTAAAAAAAAACATGTAGTTGCGAGCTTTCGATCGCACACTGAGATCATTATTAAGCATATGAATCGATTATTTTTTGTGTGAACATTTTTATCCTTCTTTTTTGTTGTTAGTTCGTCTGATTGTTACATTGATATAGGTGGGTGTTCGGGCGTGGCTGTGGTGAGAGTGTGGTGTTGGGTGCGGATGTAGACATGTGGATCTTCTCTTCATAGCAACATTCACAGATACACCCATCCACACCCACACCTCACACTCACACCCTCAAGACTTGACTTGACTTGGAATTTTTAAGATATGACTTAACTCGACTTGAGTCAAAAACTCGCTAACTTGCCCATCTCTGGTGTGAATCTGTGGGATGAGGGCGTATGTGTGCGAAGCGAAAATCTCCAGTCGCACTCACACCCGTACCTACCCACGCACACCCTCTACCGACATCCACACCCCATCTTTTAACTCAAAGATATTTATCAAATCAAATTCTAACAAACGAGAAACATGGACAAAACTAACGGACTGATGTTATCTAACCTTTATTTTTTCTTTTGTTGGAGCTCTTAGCATGGACACTATATATGTGATTTGTTGCTGTATCGTTTTTGAGTGTCTTTCTTTACTGTGAAATATCCTTGAAAATAAAGTATGAATCAATAAACAGAAATTGAGTAAAGCATTTTGTCCCATCATATTAATATAATAGCCACTAGTTTGCAAAAAAGTACCCTTTCTGATTAATTTCTGATTTTGCCAAAAATATTTCTGATCGTTTTCTGATTTTGGAAAAAAAATTCTGACTTTCAAGTTTTTAATCTGGCAACCCTGTTTATAAAGCAAAATAATCAAGACATTATAGCCTTCCCTCTTTAGATTATATGCGCAATATGCACAGTCATTTATATTCTGAATTGTATTGCACAATTGTGTACTGTGTTGTTTTCTTTTTGATCTTTCTTATTGATGATTTTACTGACAATGGAACGGAGATTCATATTCTTGTACATAATAATTATCCGAATTTAGTCGTATATATTTCAGTTCGTCATCAAGTAAGAAATTATAAAAAGTTTTGATCCTTTCACATAGAGTTTTCTTTTTTATCATTTCTTGTTTGCAATGCTAACGATCACTTTTCTCGTCTTATGCTTCTTCTTATCGTCTCTTTCGTTAATGACTGATAATCTCTCTCTTCTCCACCTGTGTAACTGTGTGTGCTATGCAGTATAGATAAACAAGTAAAGATATTATGTATATTAATAGATATTAATACAGTAGATAGCAATAAAACTACTCATCTCTTTTGTTGCTCATGTTTTCGTATGTGATCATGGTATGTTCTGTGTTTCTTCGTCTTCTCATTGCGAATCGTCATTTTCATTGTTAGACACGTGCAATAACACAGGAGTCTTTGAGTACAAAATAAGTAAAAAGTACATAAAACAGTAGATAAATACTTATACTATTTTACCTCGAATACACAACAACCAAAAAAAGATGTATAAATATTCGTTTCATTCTCTTTTTTATTATATTATTGAATATTTGTAAGCAATGAAAATGGACGCGCATATTGTTCTATTGTTAACGCTAGTGTTGTGCATCATTCTACATCTCATGATTCAACAAGAGGTGGTTGCGTTCGATATTGATGGTTAGTAATATCCGGATTGTCAAACGTATTCCTAGAAAAGGGATACTATACCAAAAGAGATTTCGTTTTCATGAAAGATTTTCGGTTGATATTGCAAGTTTGACAAATGAAAACTCTGAATTTTTTTTCTTTCGTACATAAAATGAATGATAGGTTTCGCATAGTTGTGTACGAGTGAATATTATTCGTTTTTTGCCTCGAACGAGTAAGTAATACCATACCAAATCACAAGACAAAAACATGATTATCTTATTTCCCTATGATGAATATTTTTTTTTCTGTTCATTACAAATATTTCTATGTCAAAGAATTTTCAGAAATTGAATAGTTGAAAGTGTTGAAATTTTTCTAGTTCCACATATTGTTTTAAGATCACACATTTGTTGAAAGATCTTCAATTCTACTTCTTTGTGACCGAAATCGATAATCAAAACTATCATTTGATATTGATTTTTTTTCAGATCTCTTGTCAGACCCATATGATCTCGGCGGCGATCCTAGAATGGTTCGGATTGTTTTTTTTCTTTTCAAAAACCAGCTCATTTCTACTTTTGTCTTTCTTTCTTAGGCTGGTCTTTATCCTCCATTTAATTCTGATCCACAAGATTCTCCTGGTCTTGAAAGTCAAATGGATCGCAAGCCCGATTATGGACACTTATCATACAATGGTTCAGGCAAACTTCAAGGCAAAATAGCTATCATTACAGGTGGTGATAGTGGAATTGGACGGGCAGTTGCCTTAGCATTTGCTCGCGAAGGTGCTACCGTTGTCATTTCGTATTTGAATGAGACTGAAGATGCTGAAGAAATTCAAGCAGTCATTCAGAAAGAGGGACACGAATATATTTTGATTGTGAGTTACTTATCGTTTAATGATATTCATTTGAATTGTATTTTTCTTTTTGTGCAGCCAGGTGATATAACTGACGAAGCTTAATGTAAGAAGATAATCAATGAAACAGTAACGCGATTCAAACGTATCGATATTCTTGTCAATAATGCAGCTTATCAAGGCAAAAGTCTCATAAAGTTTATTTTAAAATTTTCAAAATCTAAATCTAATTATTCTGTTCGAAGAGCGAGTCCATCGAAGGTATGAGTCATGATCGAGTATTATACACATTCAAAACGAATAGTATTGCCATGTTCGATCTAACTCGCTTAGCCATCCCTTATATGCCCGAAGGTTCATCCATTATTAATGTTGGTTCGATTCAAGTATAAGTTCTTTTTTCTCTTTCAGTACTGTCCAATGTCTAATTGACTTGTTAAATCAATTTGTTTTGATTTGTCGAGTAAATTTTTTCTCTTTTCAGTTACCAACCGTCGGCAGAAATCCTTGATTATGCCACGACCAAAGCTCCCATTGTTGGTTTTACAAAGGGTCAGTTGATTTAATCATATCTTCAGCTGGTTCATCTTTGTGTTCATGTTTAAAGGTCTCGCTATGAAAATGTTGGAAAAAGGTATTCGAGTTAACTGTGTTGCTCCTGGGCCTGTTTGGACGCCACTCATAGTTTCAAGTTTTCCTAAAGAAACAATTAACCAGTTTGGAGCGGAGGTAAGTTTGAAGGAGACAATTTGTCAATCAAGCGTGAGAAAAATAATTTCATTTAAGCAAACAGAGATGATTTTTTTGTTAAAAAGTTGAAAATTGGTTACACTCGAGTTTTGAGAAGAGAAAGTTAATCTCAGCAATTCTATTTCTTTCCAGCCTCCAATGACACGTCCAGCACAATCTCGAGAATTGGCACTGGCATTCGTATTTCTTGTATCTGGCAGGACATCCTCTTATGTTTCAGGCGAAATACTTGTCGTTGTAGGTGATCTTATAACGACTTAGAAAGGACTTCAATCATTATGGCAAAAACTAATCAAGCTAGAACCAAAAACATATATAATTTGTAAATTTTATTTTTTGCTTCGCATATATGATATTGAAGAATAACGATTTTTTTCTCATGTTCTATAATAAACTGTGAAAAGCGTATCTACATGATTTTTATTCAGACACACTCATCAAAACTCTGTCTTTTGACATGCATAAGTGATAAATAAGCAGTTTGGATGTCCTCAGATGTAGCAGTGTAGCAGCAGGGAGAAAAAATTAAAAAGAAATAAAAAAAACCTCGTTTACAGATATACATTACTGGCAAAAGTTCCAAGTCTCACCTTGAGGTTTATCGAGATTGTCAAGCTTTTGGCTTGCCATTTTAGCATAATGTGTATACTGAGAAACGCTAATCGTATATACCAACTAGACATCAATTCAATGTACTATCCTGTGAATCTCTGAGATAGGCTATGTGGTAAATTTTCCGACCGGATGTTGCCATTTGGCAATATTGAGCCAATATTTCTTCAGATTTCACTTGAAGTGATGATGTAGAATTCTTTTGACAACTCGATAATTATCTTTACACATTTTAGCACGTATTCATGCATTCTCAAGAAAAAGAGAACCTTTCATTGAAGCGACAGATGGATTCCCCCGTAATGAACCAAAAGAGCACCCAAATCGAAATAATTGATTTCCCGTGTGCTTGAACATTCTAACTCGGAAGCAATTAGCGGTTAATTGGGTAGGTGTAGGTGTGGGTGGGTGTGGGTATAGGATGTAAACAAGACTCACACACTCACACACCCCTATTCCGACAATTCGATTCAACTCAGTACTTATCCACCTTTTCGATCCTATATACTGTACAAAATTTATCATGTTAATCGTCTTACATTCGAATCCATGATGGATTATTGGCTTGAATAAGCTAAACAATCAAAAACATTTACCATCGCCACGAAACGAGACTCTCTATCTGATATGGCAGCGTTAATTCAAATGGAATGTGTCGGATTTATATCGGTTATTATGCTTGTTGACTGTTGGCATTTACCCGGTACACACTCATTTTTATTTCATTAAATTTCTCGTTTATTCTTAACTATTTTTGATTCTACTAAAGAGATACAAGCTTGGAGTAATGTACAGACGACATTATTACCATTTGCCACCTTCAATTTGTTTTCTGCAACTGATATTCAACAGTTATTTCGGGAGTGATATAACAGGATCTCCCCTAATTTAGGAAATTGTTGTCCATCCGTGGTACTGCTAATTGATGAAAATGCAATTTCGATTCATCCAGCTGATTATGATCTCAATCTATCACCACTGTATGAACAGTACGATTATTCATCCTGCATATGTCATCCTCAACCCTTACCAAATCCAAACGAAGATTGAACTCTCCCGACCGTAATTGAAAAAACCTTCCAAATATTTCCGGATGATACTTATGCTTTAAGTTCTTGGGATGTTGGACTCAATCCTATACTAGGTACATATAAACCTTCCGATTTAATTGGTCCAAAATGATATACTACACTTATCCAGGAACGGGCTTATCGTTGTCGTTTAATTCACCATGCAGTCACCGACTGTCTTGTTATTACTACCCTTTAGTTCATATTCGAAATCGATGGTCGTGCGATCAACTCGATCCACATATTCAACACCTCCATGCCGAAAATGATCCACTGATCGTAATCATCCGACGATGGATGATTGCGAACCTATTTTGAATGATGAACTTCCTAATATCACCAACAATATTATCCCTATTTCAATTTCTAAATTCTCAACTGATACAAAATCTCAAACTATTCAAAGACAATTGATACATGTTGATCAAAAAAAAGCAGCGATCACAAGAAGCAATTCAACATCGTTGTAGAAAACGTAATGCAATCAAACATGATCGTTCAGATGGATCAATCTACAGTGTGCGGACGCATCTGTTGTTCTGGTGGTGGAAGGATTGTTAGAGTATGCCATCTGTCGCCCATAATATCCTTCATCATCTTCCATCCTCTATCTATGTTTATTATTCATATATATATATACAGGGTGGCCCAAAAGTCATGTTACCCAAAAAAAATTGAATATCTCCCTTACGGCTCGAGTAAAGAAGCTGGTTTTTTTATCAATGATAGAGGCATCTTCAAGCGTTATATCTATATGAACAAGGTCAGGAACAACCTATGTTAAGTAGCACTAATGAACTGAACATAGGAAATTTTATTTTTCCACAAAGAGAAAAAAACAATTTACAATAGAGAAAGGACAGTTTGTCACTACAAAATGGGCAATATTTTAAAGTAAATGTTCAAATTGTTTGCCTTCTGTATTGATACACATGTGACAACGATCTGCTACAGAACGACAGATTGCTTGGCATAATTCGATGTTATTATTGAGCGATGTAAATTCTTGCTCAATTAATAATTTTAGATGATTCACATCACGAGGTTGTTGAGCATAGACACGATCTTTTATTATTCCCCATAGTGAGAAATCACATGGAGTAAGATCCGGAGATCGTGGTGGCCATTCAACAGTTCATCGACGACCAATCCATTGTAAAAATGTATCATCTAAATAATCTCGCACAATTTGACCATAGAGAGGTAGTGCACTGTCTTGCTGCCAGATTATTGTTTGAAAGGCTGAATGTTCTCGAAGTTGTGGTATTATATTGTCCTTCAACATCTGAAGATACTTTTCTGATGTGACATTACCTTAAAAAAATACGGTCCGATAACCCCGTTTGACCATATTCCTTCCCAAACAATAACTTGTGGTACATTGAGCTCTTGTTCGATGATAAAGTGTGAATTTGTATCACTCCAATAAACACAATTATGTCTGTTGACACGACCATTTGTTTTGAACGTAGCTTCGTCTGTCCATAGAATTTGATCCAATAGAGTTTGATCATCTTGAGTTGGATCTAAGATCCATTCACAAAATTCGAGTCGCCGATCAGGATCATCTTCACTTAAGGCTTGTAATAATCTTGGTTTGTATGGTTTTAAATTTAGATCTTTCATAAGACGTTGTAAGCTTGTGCGTGAGATATTAAGATCATCTGATGCGCGCCTTTGTGATGTTCGTGGATTCAAAAGAAAAGTTTGAGAAACAAGTTGCCTATTTTCTTCTGTCCTAACTGTTATTGGTCGGTCACTTCGTGGTTAATCTTCGACAGAACCTGTCTCATCAAATTTTTTTGCTAGTCGAGACATTGCTTGATGAGTTGGAACTTTTTCGCCAGGAAATTCATTTCGAAAAGCCGCATTTACTATTTGTGATGTTTTTCCTGATATCCACCATTGTTTGAGGACAAAAATTCTTTGTTCTTTTGTCAGAGTTCTCGGCATCTACAAACACATGTGCCCGAAGTAAGAGTTACGAACTGAGTACACAATGGAAAATGTAAACAAAGAAGAATATGTCTTACCGAGAATATACAAAACACGTAGACAGAGACAATAACTGAATATGATCAACAATACCAGAAAAAAGAGTTATATCGAGTGTAGTTTTAACGTGAAGTATAATAGAACAGAAAAAAAAACGCAGGCAAAAGAGATATGTGAATACACAACACGTGTTATTCGCAAGCCCGTTTCGTTTATCACGCTTTATCTGAGAAAACTGTCCTTTCTCTGTTGTAAATTGTTTTTTTTCTTTGTGGAAAAATAAAATTTCCTTTGTTCAGTTCATTAGTGCTACTTAACATAGGTTGTTCCTGACCTTGTTCATATAGATATAACGCTTGAAGATACCTCTATCATCGATAAAAAAACCAGCTTCTCTGCTCGAGCCGTAAGGGAGATATTCAATCTTTTTTGAGTAACATGACTTTTGGGCCACCCTGTATTGATAGATATCTCGAATGCAACAGCGATCAATATCGCTTCATTATTATCTATATACAAATATTATCACATTTATATGAAAGTAAAACTGATTCAATAAAATAATCTTTATTCAAGTTATCTTATATATAATTATCCTTTCTCATATCAAGAATTTTGTAATGTACTTTACTAACGAGGAAACATTCCCAACTGTCACATCGCTTTTGAGTCGAGCGTATGAGCATTATGTAGGCCCTAACAATCTATGAATCCTCTCAAAAAGGTTCGTGCCGCTAGCTTCTTACTGCTAAGATATAGCATTTTTACTATATGTTTCGGGAAAAGCCATGGTCCCCCTCAGGAACATCAGGAAAAGTGAGTTTTGAGTTTCTGCCTGACATTTCGCATGTAGATAGGCCTCAATGAGAATAGTTTATTGTGAAGATTTCAGATTTTTTGGTTGCTCCTAGTTTGAGATAAGAACATCGGATCCGCTAGTGTATACGAGCAATTTTACGATAACTGTATCTTAAGATAGGAAGAACGAAAAAAGCTGAAACTTTCGCAATAAAGTATTCTCATTGAGGCCTACATCCATGCAAAGCTTGAAGTCGAAATTCGAAATTCAGTTTTCCAAGTGTTCTTGAGGGGGGGGGGGGGCACAGCTCTTTTTTCTTAAACATACAGTGAAAAGGCAGTATCTCAGCAGTAATAAACTAGCGGGACGAACTTTTTTCAGAGAATTCATAGATCATTAGGATCTACATAATGCACATATGTTCGACTTAAAAGCGGTGCGACAGTTGAGAATGCTCCCTCGTAAGTTTTTCTTTGTTGTATACATCTTAATAAAAATTAGAATATAAACAAAGTATGTTTGTTTTCTCGATGGTGAGACAACTACTCTAATTATTGAATAGGCTTTGTATACTAAACAACTTACTTCATTGCCCAATCTAAGTTCAAAAATATGCTGTTGGCAGATATTTCTGGTAAAACATTTGTTTGACATTGGTCCTGATTCACACAACGTAGTAAATGGGCTTTCCATGCTAATATAGATTCCACAAAATCATCGTAATTGTATATTGTCCGATCGATAATTTCTTGTGATTTATACTTTTGTATTGCTTCTTTGATAGCAAAACGAACACTCTTGAGATTCGTACATTCTATGCAAATCTCATCATGATTGTGATCGCATGAGGACGAAAAAAACTGAGAATTCCTTTCGCTTAGTACAAATAAAACGCAATGATCAGGAACCCGTGATGATCGGCTTACATGAAGTTTAAAGTCATATTTAAGGTATTGTTTTGCGCGTTGTAAATCTGTAATTAGTCGCGTTTTTTCATGAGCATCGATCAAAAGATTTTCAATCATACTTTTTAAACCTTCAAAAGCAGTAACTCCGTCTGCCACGATATTATTCAAATCTTGAAGGACTTTTCGTGTTGAAGCTTTACAACAGTCTAGAATTTTATATAATGAGGACGAACCCAGTGGTGAAAAATCAGAACACATTTGATAGCAATATTCATAGTACTGTTGTATAATCCGTGTTGAATTAACTGATCGAATTATATCAGGTACATGTAATTCTGTGCCACTAGAAAGTCGTAGAGTTTTTTCCCCAAACGAGAGATCAATAGATATATGAGTACTAAGAACAAAATCAATAAAATGTTCCACTTGAGCTGGATCATAGCGAACGTTTGTACGATGTGATGGTACTTTTATCATACCTTTACCATATTCTTCTGCATACAAACGAGCTGCTGTGTATCTGTATCTTGTCAATCCAGGAATAACTGACGAAATAAGATTATAGTCAACTTGTTTAGCTACAATAGATAGAATTGTTCGACGACCTATAGAACTATCAGTATTATTATGCGCTTCGACAATAGCTGCCAAAATATTCATTAATTTCGGATCCATTACGATGTTGCTTCTCTCTAAAATGCATAGCAAACATTCATTGTTATTACACCTATACATTCCCTATGAAATCAACTTACTGCTTTCTTTTAAAAATAATTCTTGACGAACTTGATCTGCATCGCTTCCAGAGAGAAATTCCAGCATGGTATCAACAACGAATCGTGCTGATGAGAGAAAATTTTTCTTAGACCCTTTACTAAGCTGACTATATGAACGAGTAACTAATAATGGCCGAGCAGAGTGATCTGGCCTCATCAGTTGAATAAAATTGTTCAATGCAACTCGTTTGCTCTTCCCATTGAAGCCACTATAAATAGATGATGATGATGTGACAGAAGCTGAAGAAAAATGAAAGTCTGGATCACCAATCTCATTATCAGATTCTTCATCACTCCAAGGAATATTTTCTAGCCAACTGAGAGCAGACTGATGTTCATTGACCTTAATCTATGAAAAGAAAAGATTGTTAGAAATGTTACATAAAAAAAGCGTCTGTCTCACCAAATCGATACGCTTCGAGACTTCTTCTCGGCACCGGCGGCATATTGTTTTTCCGTAAGAATGCTGAAATTTTAGTTTTTCATATAAGGTGAGTGTCACAGGTGCGGCTATATTTTGCACAGCAACGCTGGAAGTTGATTTTCTAAAACATGGTACGCATACAGAGCAGGTACGATACTTAGATCGTCGAAACTCCTCGAGTAAATCATCCTTATGTGTTGTACAAACACTAGTTTTACGTAGATGAAGAGCTGGTTGGTAAAAAAGATCACTTCGTAGCAGCATAATTTCAATACATGATCGAGCATCAGGAAATATCCTACTCGAGAACCGTTCATGTTGCAGCTCATAAAAACTTATAAGAGTATCGCTACAAAATCTCTCGCTCTTAAAAAAAACATTGATTTACGGAACACATTGAAGTATCTTTGTTGCTTTGTATAAAAAAATAACGAAA